AACTAAACACGTGTCTGCAAAACATTGGCATTTTTTCGTATGTCAACACTTACGAATTTTGAGCGGCTTCGAAAAAAAATGTAATTGATTTATGGCTAATTTGAATAGATTAATAGCTAATGAGTAGCGAGAGCCCGGCAAGCAACACATCTGTGTGTGATCGTGCGACTGTGTCTGTGACTGTTTCTGGTGCGATGTTGCGCGTAGGTGTAGAAAGGGGCGTCAACAATCGCACATCACGCTGTTTGTATTGGTCCAGCGGTTGAGTGTGTGTGCGCGTGTTCCTGTCGGTGTCTGTTGAAGATCTGTGGAGTACACTGAAAAGATAAATGTTAGGAACTTCAAATGGGAAATCATATTTTGATTTAAATATATAATAATAACAACAAAATAATGTTTACGAAATTGGAAAATAAATAAATTATAATATATTTTAAATATAAATATAATAATATATAATAAAAATAAAAAAATACTCACAATGAGTTGAAAACCGGTAAGGATTTGCTGGAAAAATTTATAATAATAAACTAATTAATAATTGTTGATAAGTTCTTATAAATTTTATTGTCTTAAATGTATTCTAATTAATAATTATTGATAAGTTCTTATAAATTTTATTGTATTAAATGTATTGTATAAATACAAACCACAAATTAGCACCACGTTTTCAGCTTTAAAGTTTGTTATGATGTAACTTTGTGACAACAGTTAATTATTTGTGTGTGTGTGTGTGTGTGTGGACTTAAGTTATTTATATTCTAAATGAGCAAACACTTTGTACTTCATTACATAATAAGTATTTGTACATTATGTACATGTGTCTAGTGACCCAGACCATAATATTTTTACCAACTCACAGTTTGAACTCATTTCACAAATGCTAACTTGTTGCCTGAAACTTAGAAATTGCCAAAATCAATTTTTAAAAACCGTATTATTCTAATTATATTACTATTTAATATTACTATTTAATATATTACTAAGAATATGGTTCCTTATATATTACAGTTTGTCAAACCGTTTTGAAAACATTCATTGTATTGAATTATATTCGAACAATCGAAACAACGGTATATTATTATTACTTATGGATATTATCTATTTGATTTTCCTTCCTATTTAAAAGCAATGCCTAATTAGCCGATGTTGAAGATCGATGCAGATCTTTTCCCTTTTTAGCGATTTTCTTAAAAATATAATCAAGTAATTAATAACTAAAAAGAATTAAAATCGATTCTCTTGCAGTTCTGGTATTGAATTAAAGTCCACTAGGAGTAATTTTATTGTTTTTGTTTCTAATGCGAGTGACTATCCACATAACTATGAATATTCAAAATAAACATAAACATAAAAATGAAAATGAACAATAAATATATGCGGAATTGGATCCAGTTATTAGCTAAAAATACCAGCGATTTCTCTCAGTGCTGGATCGACGATCGCATTGGTGAGCCTCACGACCACATCGACAGTCACGCACACACACAAATGCTAGAGCCCGGCTTTAGCTAACTGGGCTCGAAGCTGAAACTGAACGAAAGCTACCTTACCTGTTTCGAAATCAAGTTTGTTGCTTCTGTGTCGCTTCGGTGATCCGCACAGAAAGGTGCACGCGCGCATTCTACACGGTTGGCTGCACAAAGCGATTTGTTTGGTAGTACCAACTGCGATCTAAACGGATTTCTCAATAGCCAGTAAGGCACGGTGGCAGCACAACGCCGTCGGTAGATTGTTCTCTTCGGCCTCGTCTACAAGTTCATTGTAATCGTCATCGCCTGAGTCGTCTTAGTCGGCCTGTCCGGTTTCGGGCTCGCGTTAATTGTGCCTTCGAAGGGGCCGTGTCAAAGTTCGTGGAGTACGATGTTGAATGCGTCACTGACAGCATTTCCTGTGCTTGAGCTTGCGAGTGGGTGCTATAAATAGGCAGCTCATTAAGTTTGCAAATGTCGAGAACAAAAAGTTCCACAGAAACCTCATAAATCTTGGCAAGCAACGAGAAAGATAAAAGTGTGTTTTTGCATAATTGCCATGAATATGCAATGATTCTTGTAATAATGCTATGAAAAAAAATCAATAAATCCCACTTGTTTACAAATATTGTGCAATAGAAACCAATTAAAAGTTCTCATATTCAAATATATTCTGATTTATGTGCAACAACACAAAGCTTTTAAAAGCCAAAAGCATCATTTTGTCATAAAGTGTAAAACAACAACAGCAAACCACAAAATTTTAGGCAAATATAAAGCAAATACATTAAATGTTTCTAAGCTTCTTCTACCCAATGGATATCGCAAATTAAATCTATTTAAAAAAAAGGTAAGCTAGACTCAAGGCCCCGCAAGCGCCCGCGCTCCCAAACAACAACAACAACACCCATGCTATACTCGCACAACACACCCAGCATTGAAGCATTGAAGTCAACTTCACTTAGAAAGAAATCAACAAAGAGAAATACCCCAATAAAATAGCCAAGCGCAATTTACCAATTTCATTATTAACTTTGATAGAAATCAAATAACAAAATACTTAAAAAACCAACAACAGTTGCGCACAAAATGAGAGACAACCAGAGCCAATAGCCAACTGTAACTGTAGCCCCAAAATCAACACAGACAAATGTATTTCGGCGCGTTCTTCATTTCATTCAATGACTTTTGGTGGTCCCTATTCAAACAACTCCAAACAAATCAAGTATCAACTCGATGGCACTCCAAACGTCAACTCGAACAAATTTTTCCCCTGATAAGTTCACTTGACAATGAGTTGCAACCAGTCCAAGTCCAAGTCCAACTCCAACTCCGAGTCAAAGCCAAAGCCGGGCCCAAGCCCCGAAGATGGCCGCGTATTGAACGCAGACGGTAGTAAATATTGACGCTCGTTGAGTTGAGTATGAAAAAATATATACATACTCGTATACGAGCAGTTGTATGTATGTATGTACATAGGGGGGAAAAAATGAAATTCATTTACAAAACTAATTTCAATTGTAACATTTTTTAAAGAATATATTTTCTTGGCGCCAGCCTAAGTGCCATGGAAAATTTGTGTGCAGGTCTTGATACTTATACTATATGAGTTCCATTGAAGGAAAGTGATAGTTTCTGGAGTGTGTGGGCAATGGGAAATGCCAAAGAAAAGTTCTGTATGTTTACAGATGTGAAAAGAAAGGGCAAGTGCTTGGGACTCTGTTTTAAAGGGAAAACGAACTTCCAAAAATGTAGCTTTCACAATGAAGTTAAATGCTTATGGATGGTGCATAGAGGACTACATACTTTTAATGTGAATAGATCCAGAAGTTCAGCTCTTTTTAATGGCTAATTTGTGCTTGTTTTGATGACAATTCTATGAGATATTCTATTAAACTCATTTAAAGTAATTTGTCTTGAGGTTTTTTTCCATTTTCCCATTTGCAAGTCTTCGCAATCAGTTTCCAATCCGATTCTTCATTTTACATATAGCAATAGTTGCCCACTAATTAATACAGTCGATTATACAAATACAATCAATAACAATACCGCTGAACGGAAAAGTTTCTAAACAGTGGAACAAGTGTTAAGTGTTTTTCCAAATTCTCCATTGCACTCCATCGAATTTAGTTAACATATTGTGAGGTTCTTCTACTTTGTCTTAAAAGGCTTATCAAATAAATTGTATTTAGACCGAGCTGTGGCAATTAAAAATTTATAATTGTTCTTAATATGAAAAGCATACAATTATTATTGAATTTTTTAATGGGTTTTATATTTGGTTGTTTATGTAATTAAGATAGTAAGCCATTTCATAAAAAATTCGTTTATTTATAATTTAAACTTCCCTCAAAATAAATATACTGACGATATAAGCACATTTTTACAACTCAGGGAATAATTGTGCTTTCAAGAGAGCCTCATCAATGAGTTTTCGTTTGGAGCCCCAAATTATTCTTTAACTCTATATTATGCTGATAAACGAGATTATAGAACGCTACAAACATCTATCACTTATTCTGAATAAGATAAGAAGACTATTGCGTTATAAAATAATATATTAGTAGGGGAGCAATAGATTACGGTCGACTTTTTTCTAGTAGAATAGAGATATTTTTTTAGAAAGCAATGTTAAGTATAATTTAGGGAAACCTTTATTGTGGCATTTCTTTGAGTTCAATATGGGATTTATCAGATGAACAGAGACAGTTTAAAGATAGCAACCTCCTAGTAGTGATGGTGTTTACATTTCAACCCATTTACACTAAGAATGTGGTTCGGTCTAGAGATGAGGTAGCACGATGTCTATTTTGTAAACAGTTCCACCAACAGTATTTTTAGCTGCATTTTTTTACCGACCGTAGCTTCAACAGCAACTATCTATATATGTACTTGTATAGCAATGATTGGTTATGGAATATCTGCATTCTGTGCTGTTGTTGCTTGGCCGCAATATTTGGTTTGTTGCTCATTTATCACATGCCATAAATCATTATTCCTTATGCAATGTGCCCGAAAAGTGCCAACTCATCAAACGCAGCGCAAGCACATGACGTTGATGTCCAGTTTCCGAGCCCGAATCCCAGTCCGAGCCCATGTCCGTCGCTTTTGTCTGGCGACTCAACCAATAACACCCGCAACTCGATTATTCAAATAGGCGCCCTCCGCACAACAATGGCAGGCAGATCATTCTTTAGAGTCACTCTTTTTTCTTTGCCTATTTTATACAAAGTTCAAACAATGACCAATAGAAAAATAAAATTGAGCCACTTCATGTATATGTGTGCGTCTGTGCGTGTGTGTGTGTACAAGTTTTGTTTTTTCGATTAATTAGCAAATCAGGTCTGCAGACTTTCATTATGATACACATATTTATTGATAGATATACACACATTAATTTTATTGGCATAAGAATTTAGTGAGAGATGCATGTGTATGTCGCGCTTTAACAACGATGTCATTCTCTACTTTTAGTCCCAAACCAAATATTTGCGAACGTGCACGTATTCACAAAGCGACCAACAAATAATGTACGCGGATAAACGTAGCGGTTTGGAGAAGGCGGCGAATCTGGTGACAACGGGGGCCGGCACAGCCGCTTTATTGCCAAGTCATTTGGCCACACATTTGGCAGCGACAGCAGCTTCACATCAGGCGCCAACGCCACCGCCCACGCACGCACTGCAGCAACAGCAGCAACATCATCAATTGCAACTGCAACATCAGCATCAGCTGCAGCAGCAGCAGCAACATCATCAACAGCAGCAGCAGCAGCAGCAACAACAGCAGCATCCACATCCACATCCGCATCATCATCACCATCATCATGTGAGCGCCTTGCAAACGCACCATAGTTTGCAGCAACATATGCAACAGCAACATGAGGCTGCAACATTGTCACAGCAGCAACAGCAACATTTGCAGCAGCAACAGACAGGCCAGCAACAAGCCGCACAGCAGCAGCAGCAACAGCAACAACAACAGCAACAGGCAGCCGGCATGTTTACAAGGTGAGTCTTAGCGCCAATTCCGGCAACACACTTTATCTCGCATCTCTTTCGACCAACAACAACAACAACAGCAACTACAGCAGCAGCAGCAGCAGCTGGAACAAATCGGCGCCAGCAACGCATCAAAAATCGCGCAACATGCAAACTTTTAATTTCAATTTGTTTCCACGCTACGTCGATATTTGTCAATTTAATTTGAAATATGTATGTATGTAAGCCCTGCCCAGCCCTCGCCAGCAAATCCTGCTCAGTTTTTAGAAACCCAATTGATTTCGTTTGCCTTTCAATTTCACTGCAATCTCTTCTCTTTTTCTTTCCGTTTTTTTTTTTTTTTTTGGTTGGTTTTGTGTTTTTGTTTTTTGCTGCCACAACAAAAGTTTTTTTTCCTTTTTGCGCGCACACATTCGATCGCAGCACATTTAATGGCCTCTTGTATTGGCAACTTGTAGTTCGCATTTATCTGGGTCTCGTAATCTTTGTCAGTCAAAGCAGCCAAGGCCCAGCATTTTAGAGCTGTGCGTACCCACAGCGCCAACGCCAGGACCAAGACCAACAGGCTGGTGGCTGCCTGGCAGGCAGGCAGTCAGGCAGTCAACGTCTCAGATACTCAAGCAGCGGAAAAATCTCTGCGTCTCCCCAGCTGCCGCTTCTCGAGCTGTTGTGCCATTTTATTTAGCTCCAATTAATTAGTGCTTCAAATGTTTTGCCATAAGTTAAACCCGCACAGTGCGATTGACATTACCACGTTCAGAATCGGGCGGCTGCTGATCCGGCTAAGACCCCGAAAACGGCAACCAACGACGACGACGATGACGGCGACGACGACGTAGATGGCCACTTGGGTCTGGGTAGCTGCTGCCGTTGCTTCTGAAATGTGTAAAAATCACGTGTGATGTTGTTGATGGGTCGTTTTTTGTTTTTGCACCAGCATCTTGGCAACTTTGTCTTCTCTGCGATCTCTCCTCTAGTGTGTGTGGGTGAGAAGCGGTGCAGCGTTTGGTGGGTGGGTGTTGTTCCTCGTATTGTACTGTTGTTGGATTTTTTTGTTTTCTGCTGTGGTGCTAGGTGGCAATTGGTTTTAGGTCTTATGTTCTATCCACCGCACAATGCAAACGGAAATGGCTTATTGTCGAAAGAACAGTGGCAAATTAGAGTGACTTGTAGTAGCAGCAACTATCGGAATTATCTGTCTAGCGAAGGCCAAGGACAAAAAAGGCGTTTAACTAAATAATCCCTGCAGTCAAAAAATTGATAATAACTTACCTTTAAGGTCGTTCTCGAAACATTTTCATATATTCATGGAAGTTTCCAGACCCGGGATCTTCCGGAAAGTTCTTTCAAATCTGTCGCATCCTTAATGCCACATCTTGAAAGTCTGTGTTTCTTCTTTACCGATTTGATCAGATGTCCGAGAGATATTATCAGAGCTATTTACAATTTAGGCAAATTAGTTTGAATTTTTCGTGTATATTATATGGACAAGAAATGGAAAAAAATAACAAATTGTCACAATAAGAAGAAATCGATTGAAAAGTGCCAACCAATACTGAGGTGATTAAATTATTAATTTATTTCCAATATTAAATTGTAGGCTATAATCAATCCTTGCTGCCCTTTCTAGGTGTTTATCACGAAGAACTATTTAAGAACTCTTCAACTTACCAAAGCCAGCCATTGCAAGCAATTTTATTTCATGCAATCTATCTTTAATTTAAAAATAAATAATTTTAAAATGTATTCACTTAGATGGGTAACTTAGACTTAATAATTTTTTACCAAATTTTCATTTACGCTTCGGTCAGTCTATTTTGATCTACAGTACAAAGTATTCGGAGATGTTATCAGAACTAACAAAAAACAATACGAATTTTTATTAGAATATACTTGTAGAATACATATAATAAACAAAACTAAAATATATAAGTACTCGTAAGAATTCCCAAAAAAAATCAACAATCCAATGAGCTAAAAATAATCAAAAAAACCTAATTAAATAATTAATATCTAGCCCAGTCGGGGATTATTTGTTAGCCAGTTCAGCAGGCTACTTCTGGGGTTGAATTGAACCAAATAATCGCGGAATGTAATGGAATTTGTTTAAGTAAGGTCGCTTTCTCCATTTTTCGAATGTCTCTTGCATAAGGACTATTGAAAATGGAAGAAGCGAGAATGTTCCAGTCGTGCACGTCCGACAGTGGAAGACCCCTTATAAGATAAGTGATTTATGGGCTCGGAGAGGCTTCCTTATGTCTGTCACATCTCAACAGGCATAAAATGTCATCCAGAGATTTCCAATTAAATTTATCTACATGCCATGAATTTCTTTCGAAAATAATCGCTAGGAACATACGTAGGCGAAGTATCTATGAAAATTAGGAAGCAAAAATGTAATATTACTACTTAGTATTATTCGTTGAAGGGTATTGCACGACTAGAATAATCTATTGTCCTGTAGGATTCGGATTCGGATAGGCCGAAGCTACTGTTGGAGGACTACACTATAAATTAATTACTTGCTGCTTCGTTTGATTTATGAACTAAGACTATACTACTGTAAGCCCAAATCATCAGCAATTCTTTAACTTGTGGAAAAGTAACAAAAGATCGACAATTATATAAAATATTAAGTGCATCGAGGACCCCATCGCTGTACGTCAGGAACAACTGTTTTAGCTTCAGTTTTCCTCTTCAAGGCATTCTAATAAGTTGTATGGCTTCCAAATCTATTTCAATCACAGATTTAAGATTCAAGTCTTGGGAGAAAATATCTAGCTAGTTTTGAAGATTTCTCTTATCCTTAAAAAATGATCAGTTACTTTTTTCTATCTAGTATGTCAAATCGGCATTGTACAAGTAGGTTTGTAGGGTTTGTTTGTCTAGTAGACAAATGTTCAAATGTTCTAAGTTACGGTTTCTTCTTAGACTACTTAATGTGCAGTTTCCTGCTCTATTTTGATCAAAGGTTTTAGCGTGCTGTTAGATATTTCGTTAAACTGCTAAACTTTTCATATCCTGGTGGAGATTAGTTTTAATAGCTAGTTCCAATATATAGAGGTAACACTGCATTCCAAATGTTATAAGGTACGGCCACCAATTGGGCTGGGCGTTACATGTGAAATTCTTCGAATTCCCACCATTCACAAAATCGGATCCGAGAGGCTCGAAGTTGGGGAAAGGTTCATTGTGCTATTAGTTCCACGCGCCATAAATCGTAATGTTTAAATGGTGAGACTTTATAAATTTCTAAAAATATTTTCCATGTTTACCATTAAAGCAAACAACACAACCAACTAACAGCAACACCAATAACAAAAGCAGCAGCAACAGCAACAACTAGCGAAGCACACTAACGTGAAACCGAAACAAACAACCGTTAAACAATGAAAACTATATCAATATGCTCTAAATATTAAATTACACTAATTAAAGCAAAGAAAATATAACACATACGAGCAGCAACAAAAGCAACAACAACAAAATAAATAGGCAGCATAGCACTTCGAAAACAAGAAAAGAAAGAGGAAGCCTAGGCAGGGTAGGGAGCTGCTACTATGTATATGTAAAGTGCATTTGAATTTCCTGAGATGCCAAAGAGTGAAACTAACCGAATCCGTTTCGTATTGTCGGCCATCCAACGGTTGGCCCGGGGTGTTAATTTTGGCAATTAGCACGCGCAGATACATTTGTATCTGTAGCGCGCTGCAAGCGAGCATTTTATGTTGCTAATTTCATTAACACATTTGGTAAGCGGGCAAGCGCGCGAGTTATTTACTATGCCCGTATACTCTATGCTCTGGGCTCCCAATGGCACTCGTACGTCTACTTGTATTTGTAGGGCCCTGCAATGCAAACACCGGTTGATTGCTACAGTTATTGGTGCAGTTGAAAGCAGCAATGCTGCACCAGATATGCCACCACTAATTGCTTGCCTCAATATTTGGGAGCGCGAGCGAGCTACCAAACTAATTCATGAATTTACAGCACACTCGTACAGTTTCTAGCTTTTGGCGGGACGAGCGTGCTTGAGATATTTTCTGTAAACAGCAATTGATGAGCACATAAGTGAGCCATGCGTGCACTCTAGAGGTGTGCAGACTAGTTCAATTCTGAAAACTGATTCACTGTGTTCCGCACTCACTAATCCACTTAAAATATAGGCAATTGGTACCAAAGATTTGATGCTCGACTCTGTATGCGACTATTATGCTGTTCAATTGAAAAACTGTATGATTGCATTGCGAAGCTTGCTGCTCGGAATTTTGATAGTGTTTCATTAAAATTCGTTCCCGAATCAATCAATCTCAAAGTACGACTCCTTTTAAAATTCACAATTCTATTTTCTGATTGACAAAATATTTTCAATCTATGCATAACTATATTCAGTTTTAGTTAGAAATTCAACAACTTTGTTTCATACATGCCTTTCTAATTAACACTTGTCAAAATATATGCAAAATAAAAAACAAAAAACGAAATGCTGCTACTATTTAAGAATCGTTTTCCTTATATGTGGACATATTTTCAAACTTTGCTGTACATTTTCGAACTGAATCTGATTTTTGAATCTAAAACTGACATTTTTTTAACATCCCATTTTTTGTTTTACTTCATCTAAATAGCCTATAAACAATATAAATTTCACGTTTTTAGTCTTTTTGGTACTGTTTAGAGTTTCATTTTAGTAAAGGAACCAGCAATACTTGTAGTTTTTTTTTTCACCGTAAAACGTTTTTTTAATACACTTATAAGCCACAAACAAAGATTTGAAAGCGGAATCCTAATTCTAAGCCGTAAAGACACAATTTTAATATAAATTTTAATAATGTGCAAAATATTTAGTTTGTTAGCTTTATAAAATAAGTAAACAATAGTAATTTTTCTTAAGCAGACTCTTTGTTCAATAAAAAATATTAAAAATCATATGCATAAGTACCGAACGATATTTGCAGTCCGATTCCAAGGAGAGATAATTATGCTATGGGTGCCTTATCGATACTTAA